TTCTCGAATAGCCTTTGACAAGTTCTTGAGCAAGAAAGATATTGTCAATCATAAGTCTTCCATCAATAAAAGCCCCTTGGGAAGGATCAATAAGATCCGGTAAACAAGGAATCATTCTAGTAGCAATGATCTTGGTAATGGTCTTATAGATGACATTGGTGCAGGCAATCGGTCTAAAGTCAGCCGCCGTAGGATCATGAGAGGTTTTAGGGATAAGAGCAATAACCGTGTGGTTAAGTTGCTTCAAGAGTTTCCCTGAGTTGAAAAAACCTCTCACGGCAAGAATAACATCATGGCCAACAATGTTCCAGTTATGTTTGAAAAAGGCCGAGGTATAGCCATCAGGGCCGGGGGCCTTGTTATCCCCAATATCAAAGAGAGCATCCTTAATCTCATTGTCAGAAATAGGGCCAATAAGCTGAGTAGCTCTAGCAGTGTCCAAACAAATGCCCGAACGAACAATGTTAGAATCAATACTAACATTTGGAACTGATGCTCCAAAGAGGCCAGTATAAAACCTAACAAATTCAGCAGCCACATGATCCATAGAAGTAGTAGAGGTCCCATTAGGAAGCTTAATAGTAGTGATAGAATTCTTTGCCACATTTTTTCGAACAATTGAGTGGAAGTATTTAGTCCCACGGTCACTGAGGAAAAGATGATTGGCTTTAGCCTTTTGTCTAAAAAAGTCTTCCTCGGCTTTTTTAAAGTAGAGAGCACTTTTTTTGGCCATAGCAAGATCATGCTTGATAGTATTATCAAGAGGAGAAAGTAAGAGAAGAGCATGCACTCTTTTATATTCTTTCTTCGCCTCTTTTGCTCTTTCGGAAATGTGACCAAAGGCATTGAAGTTAAGCTCCTTGAGGGGCTGTTTAAGCCTTTTAAGCTTACGAGCAAGCCTAAATTGGGGGGTACCAAACATATCAAGGAACCAATGCTTGGTGAGGATATTGGTGAAAGCCTCATGCTTAAGCCACATGTTATAAAACTTAAAAGGTCTAGAACCACCCATATTATTATTATTACCAATAGTAACAAGAGAGGCACAATGGTCAAACTCAACTTCCATCTCAAAGAAATGTGTATTACAAGAAATATCATTTATGCTCCAGGAGGGGTTCATCAGAACCCTATCAAGTTTGGCCCAAAGAGAGCCTCTATTCCATGTAAGGAATTCTCCTGTAGAAGGAGTATCAACAAGGTTGGCTTGAACCTTAAAATCATTAAGGTGTTGGATATAGTAAGCCGAAGGGGGGGTAGGTCCAATCCTCTCATTAGGACTCCCCACACAATTGAAGTCACCCATAACAAGCCAAGGACCATTGATGTTAGGTTCAAGGCTAGCAATATGATCCCAAAGGTCTCTTCTCTCCACCACCGTATAAAGGGCATAGACAAAAGTTACAAAAAAAAACGTTTTTTGTGATCTTACATTGGATCTCACAATGTAAGTGTTGCTTGTCAATTTCCAACACATTAAGGTTCACAAAAGCAGGGTCCCAAAGAAGGGCAATTCTCCCCCCCTCAATCTTATCAAAGTTGGTCATAGAGTGCCAATTAGGCCATCTATTAGACATCATTTTTTCGAAGTTAGGAATGGACAACTTAGTCTCAAGCAAGCAACCAACATGAACATTATTGGATTTCATGAAGGAAACAATTGTGTTTTGTTTTGAGACCTTATTAAGGCCTCGGACATTCCAAGAGGACACAAACATTAAAACCGTTTGTTGTTTGTCCTCCTCAATCCCTTCTCACCATTGTCACTATGTCTCGGGTTAGGCAGTAGTCTTGCTCTCGGCTTATACCTATCTAAGAATAGGAAGTATACTTTCTCCATGAAAAGAGGAGAAACACCATATTCTTTGTCCATAGGATAAATCCCGGGAAGAGTACTCAAGCACTCATTAGTAAAGTTGATGCCCATATTCATGGTGTTGGTAGTAACCTCCAAGTAATTATCAAGTCTAGTGATGTCCTCTTTAACATCTCCAAGATGTTTGAGGTAAATATCCGGATCCTTATCTTTATGAAAATAAACTTTGATAATCACATCATCAAGAAAGGCATCACGAATGTCATGAACAAGTCTAGTATCATTAGGAGTATGCTTTCTTTGGTCTTTAACCTTAAACGTATTTCCTTGCAAACAACCATCCTCATAGTAACGGTTTAGGTAATGTCTATATACCCCTTTCATAAATTTAGATGAATAAACATAGCCTTTATCATGAGCTTTGACCCCGGGGAGACTCTCCAAGCAAGATTTGGTAAAAACCAAACCGGGTTCTTTATCATCAACCATTCGAAGGTTTTGGTTAAGTTTGATAGTAGGTACATCAACCTCGTCATGATGTTTAACCTTAATAATAGGGCTAAGAACCTCCTCGGGTTCCATGTCAACGACAACTTCATCGGTGAAGGTGTCAAGAAGGGTTGTTTTGATCACCCGGACTGTTTTGTCCACATTCGTATCAACATCCCTAGGAGGAGGATCAATTTCATTATCTTCCTCTTCAATAGTATATTTATTAGCCCCTCTCCTACACCTTGTAACCCTAAAGAAAGGGTGGTCACTTTTTTTGACTTTGAAACCCTCAAGTTTATGAGAATCCGAGGTCATATGTTCCTTACCCCTCCTTTTAGTAGGAATATCATTCTCAAGAGTAGGTGGCACATTAAGCTTATTGTTAGGCTCATTTCCTTCCTTGGCTTTCTTTTCTATTTCGGCTAACACCTTGCAAGTAAAAGCATGGTGGCCGAAACATTTGCAATGGAAACAATAGTTAGGGAAAGTTTCGTACCTAACATATTGAGTGTGGAATTTCCCATTTGGGAGTTTCACCTTAAGTTCAAGAGGAGGTGCCTTAGAGGCATCAATTTCAATTAGAACTCTAGCAAAATGAGATCTAACTTTTTCTTGGGTAACCCCATCCGTAGCCAAGGGGATGCCAACCCGAGAGGCAATTTCACTTATAATGTCTTCCTCCCATATTCTCATAGGAAGATGAGGAAATTGGACCCAAATAGGAAGCTTTAAAAACTCATCACTATCCATGGAGAAGTCATCCGAAAGTGGTTTCAAAGGAAATGTCTTTCCTAGGATAGTATAGGGTCCTCCCAAGAGGACTTTAGCCCTATCATCTTCACATTTGAATTTGAAAATAACCCATCCTTTGTCATGAGACCTAACTTGGCAAGGTACATTCCATTTGTTCATCATTTCGTGTATGACTTTAAAGCCCGGAAATCTGCCATCAAAGTAGGCCACAAGACAAAATCCCCATATCTCAACCATGGAGGATAGCTTTCTATTAGAAAGGTCCACATATTCACCAACCGGTTCAATGTTTCTTAACTTCATTCCTTTCTCGGGTTTCCTATTGTCTTTAAAAAGAGAAACCCAAGGTTGGGCAGTGACTGTATCATTCCAATTAGGTTGGATACCTCCATCCTTATGAATTGCCACAACATTAGACATTGATGCCGGGGTCTCTCTGTCTAAAGTGACAATTTCCTTAGAAATTCCAAGGTCAGGGTTGGTATCAATTGTCTCAAAAGTCAGTTCAATATTGCCAGTAGTAGTAATGCCCTTAGCATGGGGCGTTGCCGCAGCCTGAACAGTTCCAAGGTTACCACCCTCCCTTAATGCCGCAGCATAGGAGGTGGATTTTGACGCTTCGTTAGCGAGACCAAGTTCAACAACGATTTCCTTAGATGGTTCAACAGCCACCTCGAGTGAGGCATTAAAAGCATGAGTAGTAATAGCATTGGATGGTTCAACAACCACCCCCATAGCGTCATTAGGGGGGACAACAACCGCCCCACCAGTAGCATTAAATTCATCAACATTGTTAATTATAAGAGGCATACCAATAGTATTAATAGAAGGAGTGGAGTTTACCTCATCAGTTTCTCCATTTTTTACATTCCCAGAGGGTTCAACGGTCGGATCCGAGGAAGTGGAGAGCTCATGGCTGGGTTGGTAGTTCTCATCCTTATGAGAAGAGGAGTTGTCATCACTATCAGGCTCTGGCTCCGAGGTAGGCTGAGCATTCTCTCTAGCTTGTGTTTTGGCCTTAAGCCGTGCAGAGGCCTTAGTAGGAGCAGGGTTGTCCATCTTCTTAGTCTTTCCTTTAGGCATGATGAACGTAGGGGAAGCTTAAGAAACACCTTAAGAAGTAGCCACCCCCACACGCCAGAAGAGGCTAGAAAAGAAACACCGGAAAAAGGCTCACAATTCACCAAGAACTGGACGAGGAAGAGTACGGACGAAACAAAAATCAAGGTTGATGGTGGTGGAAAACAGGTTTGCTTGATCCTCAAGGATAGGGGAAGCTCAATCCATGCTCAAACCAAAATTTCATGATCGGATGACTGAGATATGGCCGTTGACTTAATAACGTGAATAGTAACCTCCGGGAACAGCCAAGCGAGAAACAGAGTAAGGACCCCAAAAAAGAGCTCAAAAATTTACACAAGCAGTTTCATCATATTGTGGTTGGTATAGAAGGTAATTATCTTAAGTTGTTGCACATATTTCAAATTTAAATGTTCTCTAACTAATGGAGTTCCTGCTGTGTGCGCATATTCAGGTGACTACAAATACATGAGGTTTGCATTTCCATTATTCCTTCACTGTTGTCTATAATTCTACAAGTATATAATTTTTCAATGAAAGGCACATATATTAATTAATGACATGCATTGCTTTTATATAGAGTTCAGTGTGTGATTGATTAATTGGACATGTAGGTTCGAATGTCGGAAATCAGGAATTAATTCTGGATTTTATTTACAGAGCATAAAAGACAACATATGTCATTTCTGTCTATCCAGACCCCAAACTGTTGCTTTATTTTTTAGTTTTTAAAATCCAAATCAGTCATTATTCTAAACCTACACGTTTACACATTTGATTTTTTGTCATTAACTCTTCTAAATCCTTATATTCGCGTTCACTTTTTCCGCAATTATGATATGCAGTGTCTTGTATCCAGGGACCCATCAGAGAAAAAAATCGTAGAGGAATTCCTTGACCATGAAGAGATAGAGGATAGCATGAGGATAGATGTTTTGAAGATCATAAAGGGAATGGGTAAGATTTTGCGTATTGCTAGGGTGATTTGCTTCCGGTCTCGAGATACCTATCATGAAATTCATCTTAGTAGCATATTTGCATTGTAATTTGTAATTTGGTATTCAAATGATGTTAGAAAGTTGTGTTTTGAAGCATTCACATTATCAATGATCATCAGATCATGCATGTGGGAAGCTTTGATATGTGGTGTGTTGCCTCTTGCTTTCTAAAGCAGTGGTTAACATAGGAAAAGCGTGGACTTTGTGACTTTGTCCATAGTCAGCATAGAAGTGCATGGTTCAAATGTTGGTTTTCATATTCTGCTATCCTTTGTTTTATTAAATTAAGTGTTGCATATTTGCATACTTGACTAAAGTTATTTTTTCGACATAATTTTTGTACGAAGTAAATCAGGATTAAATTTTTTGAAGTACTACACCAAGTTTTGATGAAACAAGATTTGACTTTCTCTTCCATTTTAATTAATTTTTTTAAAGACAATAAGGAAATAAAAGAGATGCAGTTTACCAAATAATAGTATATGTGACCTCCATTTGGCATTTATTCTCAGGCTTCAAAGCAGAACATGAAGGTCAAGCAAATGTTATTCCTACTCTGGAATTTCAGGTTGTGCAAGACGCAGATCGACTTGATGCAATTGGTGCCATAGGTAACTAAGTCGATCACTTTCAGTTGCATGGCTTTACTCATGATGAACACATATCACGCCAAGTCTATACAGAACAAATGTTAGTATCCCAATAAATTGAAAGTTTGAATTGAACTTTTAATGAAGAAACACTTATACGAATTGTGTATTCCTTCAATCCTTCTTAACATGTCGTTTACACATTATAATCTTTGTAATCAAGGTTAACTATCAGGGGTGGAGATAGGGAGGGGCTGGAAGGGGCCTCGGGCCCTGCAAGAAAAAAAATCTTTAAGTATGTAGTATATATCATGTATAAATACTTTTAATCTAGAGAAAATGTGACACCGCACCCGGATGTACTTGAATTTGAAATTCGACTTGTATTTGAAATTCCTAGCAAATAAAATTCGTGTAATTAATTGGCATATTTAATTAATGTGCGATTAATTAAATTGTTTATCGGGTTCATTATATGAGAAGGGGCTACCAAATATTTAGTTGGGCCATCATAATAAATTATAGGAGCCCAATAAAGTGTCAACCAAAGTTGATAAAAATATTTGGACAACCCGAGTGCTATTTTGGCCCAACCTGCCAAAAATAGCAGGAATAATTGGGAGGGACTTCCTATACCCACTTGGGGTATCCTACAACCCACCTAGCCTCAAATAATAAGGGAGGGGGGGACAACTAAATGTGCTCATGCGTACAAGGAGGAGAGGAAGTCTCCTAAGGACACAATGGCCATACCTCCATGTACCACTCTTGGCATCATTCTTATTGATTGAGAGAGAGCATCCCCTATCCCTTTGCATCCATTTTCGTCCAACCAAGAGGAGAAGCTCCAGAGAAGCTTGCTCACAAGAGCCCATAGCTTAAGGAAGCACAGGGAGGAAGAAACTCTAGAGAAGAGAGCTAGGTTGAGGTAAGAACCCAACTATTGCTATTTAACTAGTATTACTTGTATGATTTTTAAGAAATCATATGGTGGATCAAACATGGAGTTCTACACGTTTAAAAATGGGGAATAATGTTATATAGTGGTGGTATTTAACTTAGGAGAGTCGTGGAATCGATAGGAGTTGAAACCACCGGAAACCGCCAAGGAGAAGAAGCTGTTCGTAGTTGCAGACTACGAAAGCCGCCCGTCTTTGGTGAAAGCCGCCCGGCTTTTGGGCTACTGTCCAGGAATTTCACTTTTGATCGGCCTAGAACGGGGATCGATCGAGGGGCTTAGCAAAGGCAACTATTGTAGCACATCACAAGGTGAGGATGGCTGACTATGTTGCTTAAAATCTTTGGGTTAATTTCGTAGGATTACCTAAAGTAATTAAATGTGATTTTCATGGATTATTAATGATTAATAATGCCTAAATGAAAATATTGTTGTCAATGCATAAAGAAGAATAATATACAAATTTAAGGATAAATTGTGTATGATTATGTAATATGAGCATATTGGCTTGATGAAGGGATTAATTATAAATATTGTGTTGAAATATAACTTAAACTTCATATAAGGATATATGACTGATTAAAGGTTATATTTTGTATATTGATACGAACTATATTTTCAATGGAAAATTAGTTTGGAAATTGTCTATATGACTATGAATTGAAAATGAGTTTTGTTGGAATTTATCCGACTAGTATTATGATACTAGTCGGGGTATTGGAAATGAGAATATGTTAGAATTGATCCAAGGTTTGGATTGTGAAATGTTGAGCCTTAAGTATCCTTAAGAGATACTAAGGTGGATAAGTATGAGCTAAGTGATATTAGGGGTAGGCCTTAAGGGATACCCAAGATAAAGTGAATAATAAATTGATCCTAGGTATAGGATTGGCCTACGGGTGTATTTCGGTAGTCTTTGAGATTAGCCGGTTGATATTGGTAAATAGTAAGGACCATGGCCCTTCCCGACTCTAGAGAGCGGGGTTGGATAGCATGGACTTACATCGTGATCACGGGTTAGGGTGGAATCCGAACCGGAGACCTTACGAGGCTCCCGACAGCGGTAACACATAAGATAGGACCCCGAATGGACCTTACCTTCCTACGGGACGATGGGTATGAGTTCAGGGGCGGGATGTTGGACTCCGGCCCGAGAGCCCGGTGAGGCCTCGGAGAGCGGTGACAAGTCTCGTAAAGGATGATAAGACCTACGGGCGGTGTCGTGCTAACGACGGGTATAATGAAATATATGAAATGGGCCGTGTGCCGACAAATAAATAAATTTACTTATTATAGAGATAATAAGTGGGAAATATAAATTATTATTTATATTATGATATCACCCTATTTTGAGGGTCTTAGAAATTGAAACATTGATTATACTTGGTATAGTTGTCATTGTACTTGTCAAATGCTTCCAAGTACTGACCTCCCCTTCACGGGGGAGGCCACCTCACAGTTTCAGGTAGGGAGTAGAGCTTGCTACCAGTGCCCGTTGCCTCGGGAAGATCTAGGAAGGAAGACGTGGTTCGTGCTTCCTCCGTCTCTATTTTAAAAACATTTCAATTAATGCTCATGGATATTTTTGAATGATTATTGGGGCTTGTATGCCCATGTTTGCCGGAGTGTGGCATAAACACTTGTATTAAACGTTTCCGCTGATTTCAATTGATTATTTTACATTATGTTTGTTTATGGATGTACTATTGTGAATGATATTCAAGACGCCTAGTATAGTATGGATGAGTTGGACTGCGATTGACTATTCGTACTGTACGGCGGGTTGTTGACGTGTCCGGTAGGTCCGGGGCGTGACAATTTAATTGGTATCAGAGCCTTAGTCCGTAAACTTCATAATGAAGCTTCAAAATCCCTTTTGAAAATGATTTTTGCAAACCATGAGCATAAAGTTTTGTACTTATGGAACTTTTGGTACTTGAGTTGCAAGTCTCTAATTGTTAAGATGGTACCCTTAACAATTGGTATGGCGGCGATTTGAGCCAAAAGATGTCTTTAAGTACCTATCCGTCACTTGACATTTGATACGAGTCTAATGGCTCATTCTAAACTTCTTTCAGAAATGGAGCCAATTGGGAGAATCACTAGGAGGAACCCGACGGGCCGTGTACCGGGTGGATCCGAACGCGGCAGCCGGGGGTCCACTAGGGTGTCAAGGGGAAGGGGCCGTGGAGGCCAACAACAAACCGTGAGCGATGGCCACGTCGACACGGAGAGTGAGACTTATTGGTCCTATGAGGACTCAACCTATAGACCGGAAACCGAGCCGGTGGAGACCCCTTATGAAGGGGATGATGATGATGTTAGTGACGAGGAGCAAGATGACTCCTTGGCAAGAATTGAGGCGCTGCTCCAACAATACCACCGAGAGCGCGAGGAGAGGAGGGAACGCTGAAGGCGCCGGGCGGGGCAACCTTCGGGTATGGCTTCAAGAGGAGGAAGCCACAATGCATCTAGAGTCCATGTGGAACCACATGGAGGCCGAAATGATGGAGGTCCAACCATAAGGATCTCCAAGTTTATCAAGGAAGCAAGAGACTTGGGGTGCAAACCCTTTGACGGGACCGGAGACATTTCGGTTGCCGCTCAATGGATCAAGAGGTTGAATGAAGCAGCCCTTGACATGCAAATCACGCCCAACCTTAAACTGAGAATAGCGGTAAGGTTGCTTGAGGGGATGGCATCCAAATGGTGGGATGGAACCAAGAGCAAGTATGGCGAGGGCGTCGTTTGGGAGGACTTCCAACGGGAGTTCTTTGCCCAATATTACTCCGACTTCGAGGTGAACCAGAAGGTGAGGGAATATACCCTCCTAACTCAAGGGGGTAACATGACGGTGAAGGAACTTGAGTACAAGTTTCGGGACCTTGCCGACTACATACCGGAGTACGCTTGTGATGAGAACCGGATGGTGAACCACTTTTGGGATGCCCTAGACTTGGAGATACGTGATAGGGCAACACAATTGCCTAACATGACCTTCGCCCAAGTGGTAGACCAAGCCTTGAAGGGCGAAAAACAGTGGGAAGAAAGGAAGAAAAGAGACGCCGAGGAGGCGAAGAAAAGAAAATGGGAGAACCATGGCCCCCAAGGTTCTAACAAGAAGGGGAACCACGGGGGAGGTAGCTCATTTAGAACCCCTGCACCACCATCGAAGGGAAACCAAGGCCCAACCGGGCAAAGCTCGAGGTCACAAAACTCGGGAGTACCAAGGTGCAGCAACTGCAAGAAGCTTCACCAAGGCAAGTGCCGTGATCCCCCGAGATGCTATCAATGCGGGGAGGTCGGGCACATGAAGGTGAGTTGCCCACAACTTGGGCGAGCCGTGGGTGCCGGACCAAGCAGTGGAACCATGGTAAGCAGGAACCGAACGGGAGCACCGAGTGCAAGCATGGGGCACGGTGGAGCTAGCACAAGCAATGCACCGTCCGTTAATCAAGGGAGGACCCAAGCGAGGGTCTATGCGATTACGGAGGCCGATGCACGTGCTAACCCGGACTCCGTTGCGGGTAAATTCATGAACATTTGATGTTAATTTCTTGTAAACCTTTTAAATGTTGAAATGTATAAGTTATATGGCCAACCCAGCCTGTTTAAAGTTCAAAGGAGTGGACAGATATCTGCCTGGGGCGAAAGCCGCCCGGCTTTGACGAACGTCGCCCGACGTTTGTCTATGGTTTATTACATAAATCCTACGGCGACCATAAGCCGCCCGATGTTGACGAAAGCCGCCCGGCTTTCGTAGAGGATTTTTGTTAAAATCATTCGGCGGAGGAAAACCGGCCGAGTTTCGTAAAAACCGGCCGGCTTGTGTTCAGGCATCTCCGGTGTGAGGCACTGTTAACGAAAACCGGCCGGCATTCGTAAGAACCGGCCGGCTTTTAGGAATTAAAATTGGGAATTCTTTCGGCGACCGAAAACCGGCCGGCTTGGGCAAAAAAACGGCCGGCTTACGTAACCCTTCTTGCCGAGCCGAAGACCAAGGTACGAAAACCGGCCGGCTTTCACGAAAAGCAGCCGGCTTTCACTTATTGGTGCACGGTGTTGGTTTTTGGGTGGGAACCGGGATGGAATCGGGATGGGGCGTTAGATGACGATCATCCAAACCATAGCCGGGGTACTCTTTTACCTAAGAAATGAGTCTAATAAGTGGGGAGTGTGTCTTACATTGCTTATGAATGTAGGAACACTAAAGATTAACGGGAGAGACGCAAGAATCCTCATTGACACCGGGGCGCAACGATCATTCGTGAGTGAGGCGTTTGCCGGGGGATTCAAAGAACCGCTTGTACCGATGGCTCAAGCCCTATTGGTATCCACACCTCTAGGGGAAGACATCGAGAGAGATAGCCACTATCCATCGTGTGAGGTGGAAGTGGAGGGCCAAACTTGACGTGTGATTTCGTACCGCTAAGTATGATTGAATTCGATGCAATCCTGGGGATGGATTGGCTTGAGAAACATCATGCTAGGGTCGATTGCTACACAAAGATACTTGAACTCGAAGGCGATGAAGGGGTAACCTTACGCTTCGAGGGGGATCGGGCCAAATCCAATAGTTGTATCATATCCGCCGTAAGAGCTAGGAGTATGATGAGAAAGGGTTGCCACGCATATCTAGCATACGTGGTAGACAAAACAAAAGAAGAGACGAGCATTGATGATGTGAGGGTGGTATGCAAGTATCTGGATGTCTTTCCAAAGGACTTACCGGGACTTCCACCCGATAGGGAGATTGAATTTGTGATCGAGGTCGAGCCCGGCACCAAACCAATCTCCATACCGCCATACCGAATGGCACCCGCAGAACTTAACGAGTTGAAAACCCAATTGCAAGAGCTTTTGGATAACGGTTTCATTAGACCAAGCCACTCCCCGTGGGGAGCACCAGTTCTTTTCGTGAAAAAGAAAGATGGGACACTTCGAATGTGCATTGACTATCGTCAACTGAACAAGTTCACAATCAAGAATAGGTATCCTTTGCCTAGGATTGATGACTTGTTTGACCAACTACGAGGAGCAACTGTGTTCTCGAAGATTGACTTGAGGTCGGGGTACCATCAATTGAAGATCAAAGAGGATGACATACCGAAGAGTGCCTTCCGCACTAGGTATGGACATTTTGAGTTCCTTGTTATGTCGTTTGGGTTAACAAACGCCCCGGCGGCATTCATGGACTTGATGAACCGAGTATTCCACAAATACTTGGACCGATTCGTGATAGTGTTCATAGATGACATCTTGATCTACTCAAAAAGCGAGGAAGAGCATGAGGAGCACTTGATACTCGTTCTTGAGACGCTATGGGAGAAGCAACTCTATGCCAAGTTTTCTAAATGTGAATTTTGGCTTAAGGAGATTGGCTTTCTCGGGCATGTGGTTTCGGGATCGGGAATTGCTGTGGATAACAAGAAGATAGAAGCCATTACCGAATGGGAGAGGCCAAAGAATGTCAAGGAAATTCGTAGTTTCCTTGGATTGGCAGGCTACTACAGGAAGTTCGTGGAGAAGTTCTCTGTTTTGGCATCGCCATTGACAAAGCTCACTCGAAAAGGAGCTAAGTTTGTATGGGATGACAAATGTGAGAAGGGATTCACGGAATTAAAGAAGAGATTGACCGAGGCACCGGTACTTGCCTTACCCAAACAGGGTATGGGGTACGATGTCTATAGTGATGCTAGCATCCAAGGGTTTGGATGTGTGTTGATGCAAATGGGGAGGGTAATTGCCTATGCTTCACGACAATTGAAGAAACATGAGGTAAATTATCCTACTCATGATTTAGAGCTGGGGGCAGTGGTATTTGCACTGAAGATTTGGAGACATTATCTCTACGGGGAGACGTGTCATATATACACTGACCATAAGAGTTTGAAGTACGTGTTCACTCAGAAAGAGCTGAACATGAGACAGAGGCGATGGATGGAGTTGATAAAAGACTACCATCTTATCATTGAGTACCACCCAGGCAAGGCCAATGTGGTGGCAGATGCCTTGAGCCGGAAGAGCTCATCTGGGGCATTGATAGCTAATTTGAGGGCTTTAAGAGCCCAACTGGAGGTATCCAGCAATGGAGCCTTATTGGCACGGTTTGAGGTGAGACCTACTTTAATTGATGAGATCAAGAAGGGTCAGGAAACTGACGAGGAAATCATGAGGATCCGGGAGCGCATGCAAGCGGGACCAGTGGAGGACTTCAAGGAAAGAGATGATGGTCTCTTACTATTTCGTGAGCGAGTGTGTGTGCCGGCAGATGATGAGCTCCGAAAGTCCATCTTAGAGGAAGCTCATTCATCGGCTTACGCCATGCACCCGGGGGGCACGAAGATGTACCGTGACTTGAAAGAGAGTTACTGGTGGTCTGGTATGAAGAGAGAAATAGCCGAGTACATCAGTAGATGCCTTACTTGTCAGCAAGTTAAGGCAGAACATCAGCATCCAGCTGGGTTATTGCAGCCACTTTCCATTCCAGAATGGAAATGGGAGCACGTGACCATGGATTTTGTGGTAGGACTGCCACGGACCGTGAGGAATTATGATGCGGTATGGGTTGTGGTTGATAGGCTCACGAAGAGTGCACATTTTCTACCTATCAACACTACCTATGCACTTGAGAGGTTAGCCAAGTTGTATGTGGATGAGATCGTGAGGCTACATGGGGTTCCTATAACCATTGTGTCCGACAGGGATCCACGATTCACATCACGATTTTGGCCGAAGTTCCAAGAGTCCATGGGAACGAAGTTGAAGTTCAGTACTGCTTTTCATCCTCAGACAGATGGGCAATCCGAGAGGGTTATACAGATCTTGGAGGATATGTTGAGGGCTTGTGCTTTGGAGTTCCAAGGAAGTTGGGACAACCATTTAGCACTTGTTGAGTTTGCCTACAACAACAGTTATCAGGCAAGTATCGGCATGCCTCCATACGAGGCATTGTATGGGAGGAAATGTCGTACACCGTTATGTTGGGATGAAGTGGGCATGGCCAAGCTTGAAAGCACGGAATTGGTGGAGATCACCAAGTCAAAGGTAAAGATGATTCGCGAGAGGCTTAAGGCGGCCCAGGATAGACAGAAGAGCTATGCCGATAAGCGCCGGAGAGCCTTAGAGTTTAAGGTGGGAGATGAGGTATTCTTGAAAGTTTCACCTTGGAAGGGAATCATCCGATTTCAAAGCCGAGGGAAACTCAACCCACGCTACATAGGGCCATTTGTGATTCTTGAAAGAATTGGGGCCGTAGCATACCGATTGCAGTTGACTCCAGAATTGGAGAAGATACATAACATGTTCCACGTATCTATGCTAAAGAAATATGTGCCGGATCCGTCTCACGTGTTAGAGAAACCACCTGTGGAAATACGTGAGGACTTAAACTATGCCGTACGGCCGGTGAGGATACTTCATAGGCAAGTAAAGAAGCTGAGAAGCAAGAAAGTTCCAATGGTTAAGATCCTTTGGAAAAGTGACCGAGTTGAAGAAGAAACTTGGGAAACAGAAGCCTTGATGAAGGAACAGTATGCATTTCTTTTTGAATAAGCATTTGTGAATTTCGGGGACGAAATTCCCGTTAAGGGGGGGTGAACTTGTGACACCGCACCCGGATGTACTTGAATTTGAAATTCGACTTGTATTTGAAATTCCTAGCAAATAAAATCCGTGTAATTAATTGGCATATTTAATTAATGTGCGATTAATTAAATTGTTTATCGGGTTCATTATATGAGAAGGGGCTACCAAATATTTAGTTGGGCCATCATAATAAATTATAGGAGCCCAATAAAGTGTCAACCAAAGTTGATAAAAATATTTGGACAACCCGAGTGCTATTTTGGCCCAACCTGCCAAAAATAGCAGGAATAATTGGGAGGGACTTCCTATACCCACTTGGGGTATCCTACAACCCACCTAGCCTCAAATAATAAGGGAGGGGGGGACAACTAAATGTGCTCATGCGTACAAGGAGGAGAGGAAGTCTCCTAAGGACACAATGGCCATACCTCCATGTACCACTCTTGGCATCATTCTTATTGATTGAGAGAGAGCATCCCCTATCCCTTTGCATCCATTTTCGTCCAACCAAGAGGAGAAGCTCCAGAGAAGCTTGCTCACAAGAGCCCATAGCTTAAGGAAGCACAGGGAGGAAGAAACTCTAGAGAAGAGAGCTAGGTTGAGGTAAGAACTCAACTATTGCTATTTAACTAGTATTACTTGTATGATTTTTAAGAAATCATATGGTGGATCAAACATGGAGTTCTACACATTTAAAAATGGGGAATAATGTTATATAGTGGTGGTATTTAACTTAGGAGAGTCGTGGAATCGATAGGAGTTGAAACCACCGGAAACCGCCAAGGAGAAGAAGCTGTTCGTAGTTGCAGACTACGAAAGCCGCCCGTCTTTGGTGAAAGCCGCCCGGCTTTTGGGCTACTGTCCAGGAATTTCACTTTTGATCGGCCTAGAACGGGGATCGATCGAGCGGCTTAGCAAAGGCAACTATTGTAGCACATCACAAGGTGAGGATGGCTGACTATGTTGCTTATAATCTTTGGGTTAATTTCGTAGGATTACCTAAAGTAATTAAATGTGATTTTCATGGATTATTAATGATTAATAATGCCTAAATGAAAATATTGTTGTCAATGCATAAAGGAGCATAATATACAAATTTAAGGATAAATTGTGTATGATTATGTAATATGAGCATATTGGCTTGATGAAGGGATTAATTATAAATATTGTGTTGAAAGATAACTTAAACTTCATATAAGGATATATGAGTGATTAAAGGTTATATTTTGTATATTGATACGAACTATATTTTCAATGGAAAATTAGTTTGGAAATTGTCTATATGACTATGAATTGAAAATGAGTTTTGTTGGAATTTATCCGACTAGTATTATGATACTAGTCGGGGTATTGGAAATGAGAATATGTTAGAATTGATCCAAGGTTTGGATTGTGAAATGTTGAGCCTTAAGTATCCTTAAGAGATACTAAGGTGGATAAGTATGAGCTAAGTGATATTAGGGGTAGGCCTTAAGGGATACCCAAGATAAAGTGAATAATAAATTGATCCTAGGTATAGGATTGGCCTACGGGTGTATTTCGGTAGTCTTTGAGATTAGCCGGTTGATATTGGTAACTAGTAAGGACCATGGCCCTTCCCGACTCTAGAGAGCGGGGTTGGATAGCATGGACTTACATCGTGATCACGGGTTAGGGTGGAATCCGAACCGGAGACCTTACGAGGCTCCCGACAGCGGTAACACATAAGATAGGACCCCGAATGGACCTTACCTTCCTACGGGACGATGGGTATGAGTTCAGGGGCGGGATGTTGGACTCCGGCCCGAGAGCCCGGTGAGGCCTCGGAGAGCGGTGACAAGTCTCGTAAAGGATGATAAGACCTACGGGCGGTGTCGTGCTAACGACGGGTATAATGAAATATATGAAATGGGCCGTGTGCCGACAAATAAATAAATTTACTTATTATAGAGATAATAAGTGGGAAATATAAATTATTATTTATATTATGATATCACCCTATTTTGAGGGTCTTAGAAATTGAAACATTGATTATACTTGGTATAGTTGTCATTGTACTTGTCAAATGCTTCCAAGTACTGACCTCCCCTTCACGGGGGAGGCCACCTCACAGTTTCAGGTAGGGAGTAGAGCTTGCTACCAGTGCCCGTTGCCTCGGGAAGATCTAGGAAGGAAGACGTGGTTCGTGCTTCCTCCGTCTCTATTTTAAAAACATTTCAATTAATGCTCATGGATATTTTTGAATGATTATTGGGGCTTGTATGCCCATGTTTGCCGGAGTGTGGCATAAACACTTGTATTAAACGTTTCCGCTGATTTCAATTGATTATTTTACATTATGTTTGTTTATGGATGTACTATTGTGAATGATATTCAAGACGCCTAGTATAGTATGGATGAGTTGGACTGCAGTTGACTATTCGTACTGTACGGCGGGTTGTTGACGTGTCCGGTAGGTCCGGGGCGTGACAGAAAATATGTTGATATTTTAAACTTTGACCCCTTCAGTGTTAAATTTTCAAGGACCAACCCCTTAACCATAGGTTTCTGGCTCTGCCACTGGTAACTATATAGACATGTTTATGCTTCTGTTTGAGGGTAAGGCTTTCGTTGGATTTTCAACCATTATGGTTTTCCTAAAACTTTCAAAGTGAGATTGCGATATGGTAGGTTTATTTTTGATTTTTTAACGAAGTGTCAACTTCCAGGAATTGCTAGATGTTTTACATTTGGTGGAAGTAGGCATGGTGTTCTTCATGATCCTAAAATTCTTCCCAGGTCAGATCTTTCCAAATTCCAAGGAAAACTACATGAACAAAGATGAGCAAACAACTATTAACCATTTTCAGGAGAAGCTTCTCAAGTTGAAGGACATGATGAAAACTCAGGTCTTTCTGACTGCTTTTGGGAACATCTCTTTAAAATTGTTCTGAACT